AGAAAGAAAGAAAGAAAGAAAGAAAGAAAGAAAGAAAGAAAGAAAGAGAGGGAGAGAGAGAGAGAGGGAGGGAGGGAGGGAGGGAGGGAGGGAAGGAGGAGAAAGGGAATGAGATATATGGATGGATAGATACATACATGGAACGAGGGAGGGAGAGAAAAAAGGAGAGGAAGGAAACAGCACATCAATCTAGGGCTGGCCTAGAAGGGATCTCAGAGGTCATCTAGTCCAACCCCCTGCTCAGCAGGAGATCCTTATAGAATCATAGAATAGGGTTAGAAGGGAGTATGTGTTTGTGTGTGTGTGTGCATGGCTGTCAAAACTCCAGAAACAGGTCAAGTAGCTCTGAGAAGGTCAGTCATAAATTAGAACACTTGCTAAGCAACCGGCCATTAAACAAGGACCACTTGTATTTGGTTTGCCAGTTATATGGCCACCTGGCCATGCCACCCAGTCAAATGACCACCAAGCCACGCCTACCCAATCACATGACTACCAAACCATGCCCATCCGATCATGTAATCAGCAAGCCACGCCCACCCAGCAAGCCATGCCCACCCAGTCACATGATCACCAAGCCACAAATTAAGGCACACCCACAGTTGTTAAAAAATTTGAATCCCACCCCTGGATTCATAGCATAATAGATTTGTGGGGCCGGCATGTTGTGCAACAAGGTCACATAGTGTAATAAGATTGGGACTGGGTTAGGGACTTCTATCCTCACTGTGAGTTGTGTTGGGGTGGGGTGCACAAAGGGAGGCTCAGCCAATCTCATTGTACACATGTTGTACTCTGACATTAAGGTAATAATAATTCAGGCTAAAAATAACTGGGAAATGAACTCAGGAAATTTCTTCCAACATCTTTTTACTATTTACATGAAAACTGTGTGAGCTAATCTAGGGTCTTCAAAATGTGAGGACATATATGCTGCCAGGAACTCTGGACATTTTGGAACAATTCATCTGTAAGGCACTAAGTTGAGAATAGTTATGTTGGAATTTCCAATTAGACTATAAAAGACTATTGTATTCATTCAGCAAAAAAAAGCCCTGAAATTCCTTCCAGATGTTCTTTTCTACAATCAGAATCTTGTTTTATGTTTTTAGAAAATTGGCATTGCATCTCATTATACAGTAAACACAACACACAGGTTCACACATGAAGAGGCTGGAAGAAGGTTTTCTGAAGTAATCCATTTGGAATTTCTAGCCATATTAATGTGAAAACTCTAATATTCATTCTTGAATGATTGCTGTCAAAAGAATCAGTTCACACATAACAAAATGCAAATGTAAACATTGCAACTTTTCCTTTCTCAAGTTTCAAAAGGACAGTTTTGCCATTTCTCTCTTTTGGACTATTCTGCCATGGCCTATTGGTGCCATCTAGTGGACATAGTATAGGAAAAAAACAACTACATTTAAGTTGAAAATATTTAACAGACTTATTTTCCATTTTATTAGATTATAGAATAAAATACAAAAGTAAATAGTAGAACAGTGGGAGGGGGAAGGAGAAATAAAAGTGAGGAGGGGAGGGGGATAAGAAAAAAACAGTGTTGATTTCCAACTCCCTCTATTGCAGTAGAATAGGGCATTAATATCAAATCTCAACTTTTTACTTTTCCATAATAGTATAAGCTAGCCATTTCTATAACAACAAATCAATCTAATCAGTGAAACCCAAAATCAAAGTTTCATTTTCTTCCACCTCAAGCACAAAGTCCAGAAGTGGTCTCCATGTAACAGCAAAAGTACTTATATTGGAGGGCGGAGCTGGCGTCACGACGATACGGCATGTGATCTTGGAGGTCTGAGATCGCTGCCGATATCTTTGCTCCTGGACGGTCCAATCGGATCTAAACCGTCCTGAAGAGACGGTGAATGTAAAGAGCACATCCTATTGATCCCAGGGATACCGCAAAGTCCCTGGTAGATCCAGGAGATGCTCTTTTTGCCAGCGGCAAAGAGGCAGCCATTAAAGCTGCTGAAGTTGGGACAGCTCCGAAATGAAAGAGAACGGAAAGAGAAAGTGTGCCGGTTTGGTGAGAACTTTTTCTTTACTTTAAGATTTGAAAGGACACCCTAAGGAAAAGAAAGAATCTGTAAAAGTTTTGACAGAAGTGATTAAGTGGCAATTTTAAACAGGAAGTCAAGTAATTTTTTTTTCTCATTGCTGGATTTTCTGCACGTGATTTTATATTTTGAAACTGGACTGGTTTTTTTTCTTCTTCCACTTATTCTTTCTCTCCTTTTTGACTTTATAATATTCTAGGCTAGAGACTCCCTTTTAGTCATCTTTTTAAATATCTTTTTCCCTTTTTAATTAATTTTTATTATATCTTGTTTCGAAAAGGAGGGGGAAGTGAAAGCAGAAGAAACTTTGCAACACTGCCAACAAGAGGCTTGGAAATATTCTATCTCTTTTTTCTTGACCAGACAAAGCTGAGAAAGAACTGAGACTTCTTTTCAAGGACATTGCCTGTTTGATAAGATAGAAGGAAGAGCATGGGAGAGTATTATTGCAGGTGCTCTTCTGGGTTTCTATCAATAGCTGGAGTCTGGTGTTGAAGTTTATAGAAAAAAAGGTGATAAGATTCTGGAGAAGAGAGTTATAAATTTTAACAAAAGCCTTGGATAACCAAACAAGGTGCAGTGTGCTCTTTTTATTTTTTTTAAAGCTAGGCTATTTCTTACTTTAACAAACCCCCTCCTTACTAGCTTACTTTTTGTAATAGCTATTTGGATTTTTGGCCTTTTGGAACTTGTTTTTCTTTTTCTTTTTGTCTTTTGAAGTCTAATTTTTACATTTGCATTTTATTTTAAAGGAAAAGCTTTAGTATTAATGATTTCCTTCCTTTTTTTTCTTTTTAAGGAAGTAGTCTCTTTTCTTTTTTCTCTCTCCCTCCCTTGTATTTTTTTTTCTATTTACCTTCCATATTGGGGTTGTTTTTTTTTGTGGCTTTTTTTTTCTTATGCATCCTTTTATACCTGAGACCTTTTAGTTGGATTAAGGTATTGAAGAACCTGCAGAACTTTTCTTTTTTTCTTCTTTAGTTTTTTATTTTTTACTTTTCTGCCTTTTTCAGGATTTAACAATTTTTTCTTTTTTTCGTGTGTTTATGATCTTTTCTTCCATTTTTGAGTTTTTACTGCTATTTAACCAATCAATTGGATTAAGGTATACAAGAACCTGAAGAATTTATTATTGTTGTTGTTGTTGTTATTGTTGTTGTTATTATTATTATTATTATTATTATTATTATTATTATTACTATTTGGTTTCTTTTTTCCCACTATTTTTACTTGGAATTACAATTGGTTATTTCACAAGTGGATTAAGGTCTAGAAGAACCTGAAGATTTTGAATTGTCCGAAATGAGTAGGAGACTAACAGCCCCTGGTTCCTCAACTTCTACTTCTTCCTCTTCACCATCTGGAGGACAACGTTCAATACAGACGATGTTACAGCAAGAAAAAGAACAGGAAAAAGTAACCCTGCAGATGATTATGCAAGGAATTCAAAATATTCAAATAAGAACAGAGAATATTGAAAAGAGAACAGAGAACATTGAACAAAGAACAGGAAAAACTGATGTAAAGGTGGAGAACATTCAACAAATGAGGATGAAGTATGATGAGAAATTCAAAAAAATTGAAGAAGAAGATAAACAAAGAGTTAAGAAGATTGGAGATATTGATAGCAGATTAACTGTGGTTGAACAAGATAAAAGTGGGATGTTGAGATGGGAGATGGACAGGTCAGAATTTTATCTCAGATTCCAAAACATAGAGGAAGAAACCTAGCTAAGACAATGATAGAAATTTTGGCTGAAGCTTTGGAAATAACTGAAGAGAAGATGATGGATGGAATAGACGATGTTTATTCATCTGGGAAAGAGCTATTCTCTTTCCCAGATCTTGGGGGTTTTAGTTACAATCTTAATTGATGCAGTTCTCTGTCTGGTTTATTGTGTGGTCTTCTGAAATATATGATCAGGAGTTATTTTGAAGGAAATCTGTCGCGTCGAGCGACCGGTCCGTTGATTCGATTTTCTAGTCTGTTGCTGAATTCCCTTCAAGAAATAATTTAGCGGAGCCCTCGCAAGGGTGAGTGCCAAAGCACGAAGAAAAAGACACAAAACAAATAGTTTCTTTAGGTGAGGAAACACATCGCGCCTGGGGCAGATGGAATTGTCCCGGCGGCCCCGATTGCTTTGCGCTGTCCTCTTTTATTGTGCTGATTCAAAGACGGGGGTGCGGGGTGATTGCAGGAAACAATGAAGTTACAGAGTTAATCATTGAAACCAAGCTACGTGACACAAGGAGCAAACTTCATGACTGATACTTTTCAGGTAAACATGTCTTAATACCAAATACACAGTTTTTAGCTGACACAGACTTTTGGAGTTAATCCTGTCAGTTTCAGTCCTGTCAGTGGAATTTGCCCTGAGAGGTGTACATGCTAGGCAAGATTTGTTCTATGGCAAAATAGCTAAAGCAGGATAGCCACAGAAATCCTGTTTGTTTTATTGTTTTTTTAATGTCCTATTTTAAGGAGCCTGAAGCTGCTGTTGTATAGCTTGGGAAGGACAAAGGCAAAAATGGACTGCTAAATTGGCCATGTCCATGGTCATATGACTGGGTAGACGTGGCCAATTTAGCGGTTCATTTTTTGACCTAGCCATGTCCACTTAGCCACACCCACCCAGTCACATGACACCTAGCCACGCCTACCCAGACAGTCCGGCCCCCCAACAGTCTGAGAGACCATGAATTAGCCTCCTGTTTAAAAAGTTTGAGGACTCTTGGCCTATTTTAAGGAAACTGAAGCTGCTGTTGTACTGAAGTTAGGCAAGTGGCAAGAAAGTTTGTGCTCTTTTTCCCTGGGGGAAAATAAATAGATGCCTTGGGTTCAGCAAGTACAGCTTAGGAAGGACAAAGGCAAAATGGACTGCTAAATTGGCCATGTCCACCCAGTCATATGACCACCTAGCCATGACCACTTAGCCACACCCACCCAGTCACATGACCACCTAGCCATACCTACCCTGCCAGTCTGGGCCCCCAACAGTCTAAGGGACCATGAATTGGCCCCCTGTTTAAAAAGTTTGAGGACCTTTGCCCTAGATCTTGTCTTCCTACCTTAATGGGTTAATCCTGTCCCAGGATCTTTGTCTTTCCCATCCTTGGGGTTAATTTTGTCAGGGGACAGGAAAAGGGGGTTCTGGTTTTGCATTGGTGAGTTATTTTTAACCTGATTTTTAGCCTGATTATCTTAATGGCTCTACTGAAGTGTTTCTATTGTCAGCTCTGTTAGTAGGGCTGCTCTGAGTTTTTCTTTCAGCTGGTGATTCTTGGTTTTCTTAAAGGGGGAAGGGCTGGCTTGAGTCTCTTGGCACTGTTTTCTGAAGTTTCTGGTGCTATGAGGTTTCTGGCACTGTCCTTTTGAGGTATATTTCCCACATAGCCATCTTTGCCAATCCCATCAGCTTCTGTACCCATTCATCCATGGTGGGGATCAAAATGTCCTTCCATTTTTGTGCATACAGTAGTCTTGCTGCCATCAACATATATAAGATCAGACTTCCAAATTTCTTCCAAGGCTTTTTCCATTAAACCAGAAATAAAATTTATGGTTTCATCTTTATCTTTGCTTTAAGAATTTTCTGTATTAAAATATGAATCCTACTCCAATATTTCTTTCCTTTATCACATGTTCACCATAAATGATAAAAGGTCCCTTCTTTACATTTACATTTACAACATTCATT